TTTCGGGGCTGACGAACCATTCCCCGGCCCAGGCCCAGCCGGCCGAAGGTCTGAAACTGTCCTTGGGCAACTTAATCTTCCCAGTGACGTCCGAATACTTTGGGTAGGTCAAGCCAGTGGTGCCCCAGTTGCCAACCAGGGCAAGTTTGGTCTGATTTTCATACTGAGAGAGAGAGAAGAGAGAGAATTGAGGGAAGGAAGGTGGTTCAAACAAGGCAAAGAGAAAAACAGGGAGATACTTCCCTCATTCAAACAGTAAGGTTATCTTACCCAAAGAGCCCCATGAACCACTAACACTATTTAAACAACATCTACAAGTTCACAAAAAGCTTGAATTTTCATGACTGTTGAGCATCCTTAGGTATTAATTGTATGATTTCCTTCCAGAACCTTATATAGATTTAATGTAGGGATGGCATCCTTGGCTCATTCTCTTCTTGAAGGAAGCAACACCTATTCTGAGCAATTTTCTTCTCAGTGCAAGAAAAGGTTTGAAAACTGCGCAGTTCTTGAAGCCTACTCACAGCTCGGGACATTCTGTACAAAATTCACATGTGGTGGTTTTGCAATGAAAACAGCATTTTCTGTGCAGATGTGGGTTTTTTTTTTCTGTGCAGATAATAATATTTCAGCACATAAATATTAATTTCTATGCAGAAAATGTGCAAAACAACTACGTGCAAATTTTGCATTGAATAAATCCCAAAGTACAAAGATTCTCATCAGTCCAAGATTTTTCTCATCAGGGTTTCAAAACACTCAGCAAACCTGTTTTTCAACCTTTAAATGAATATTGCTGAAGATTTCCCCCCAAAGGCTGAAACTGTGGATTTTGGGGGAAAAAAGAATCAGGCTGCCATCCTATAGAATCATACGAATTGCTTAACTTTGCACCCCCCAAAAAAAGCCATTAAAGATGCTGAATGGACATTGTATTAGTCTGTTTGAGGACACAACTCAAGAGGTCTTATCCCTCTTTTTATGCCATAATATAAACTAGCATCCTCATGAGGACTAGAACCAAAAATGTTGTTTGAGGGGAAAACAACCTTAGCAAGCTCCTTTTAAAATAAATGAAATAAATATTAAAACAAACACCATGATGCCACTTTAGTTCAGTGGTTCCCAAACTTTGGTACTCCAGACGTTTTGGACTTCAGCTCCCAGAATTCCCAACTGTTGGCCATGGTGACTATGGCTTCTGGGAAATGAAGTCCAAAATGTTTAGATTACCAAAATTTGGGAACCACTGCTTTAGATAAATGCAAATTAAACAAGTTTCAGTTGTAAACCTTTTTTTCCCCTTTCCGATTTTGCATTTCCATGAACTGGTTTGAGGGCCTTCAAGCTTACAGGTTTCCCATTGCACCAAAACAAGCCCATTGCATTCATTGGGATTGTCATTCTCTCTCAACCAAACTCATCCAAAGGGGATTTGGCTCACCGTTTCTGCAAAGACCGAGAGCCTTCCCTCTGCAGCCTTGTTGAATTCCTTCTCATCCACTCCTAGCCCAAGCCACAGTTGCACCCGGATCTGGGCTCGAATCCTGGGGCCCAGGACCTCTTCCTGAGGACACTAGGACAAAATGAAAATAAACCCAATGACTGCAAAACCCAACTGAGATCTTTTATTAGGCTTTAAATTTTCTTTTTAAATGAAACAAAATATAAACATAAAAGAAAAAAATAAATAACAGTATACATTATTTACATATGAAGGAAGAGACAATCCATGTGATGCAACAAAAATTCTGCAACATGTTTTGTTTATCCATTCCATCTATTACTTAATCATGCTTTTACTTCTCATCTAACTCTATTGAACTTCTATAAAATTTACTTGTTTCTATACTATATGTCTAAAATACGCTTTTTTTGTGCTAGTTACTTAATATCTTCTTTTCTGTCATATCCCTATCCATCTTTCTTTCATTTTCTTAAGTTTGTCTTTTAAATTTGGCCATATATCTTTCTAATAATTTTTAACTTGAGACCATTCTTCTTTTGCTTTTTTGAGGATTTTCAACCAGCGTGGACACAATCCTTCCACCCAAAGTCCAAATTATTATTATTATTATTATTCACTTATATCCCACCTCTCTCCCACTACAGGGACTCAAGACGAAAAACAGTGAATTTAAAACAATACAATTTAAAAACAATATAAAGAATTCAAATGTAAACATATAAAACCCACCTGAGATCTTTCAAACTAGAAGACTTAGAGATTGGAAATGGAGCATTATACAGATAAAGCATGCAATGAATCTTCCCTGTTCAGACAAGGTACTTTTGCTGAAATGAAAGTCCAGAAAAGTCAAGGAAATACCACAATCCTTCCACCGAAAGGACTGTCCAGTGGTCAATAACGGAAGCAGCCTACTGTAGAAATAATGTAGTTGGAGACTACTTTAACTGCCATGGCTCCATCTGACAGAATCCTGGGATTTGTAGTTTTATGAGGCACCAGC